CTCGAAGAAGAACTAAGATCACATATTCCCAACAGTAAAAACAAAAACACAATCAAATCTGACACTCTTCCAGTCCTGGTGTTGTGTCTATGCCAGCCAGATGTCCCCAAGGAAAGGCTGCTCTAATTTATACTGGGTGAAAATGCCCCATAGGGCAAGAGCACAGCTGAGGATCAGTGTGGTAGAGTGGCATCCTAGCCATGTCCTCCCCCTCTTCCAGCCATTCAGCCTCCCCCTACTAGGCCCCAGAGTGCTAAAGTGACCCTCTGCATGTGTGTTATGTCAGCAGCAGGGCTAGTTTATGCCAGGACGGTGACACAAAGCAGCTGACCACACCAGACAATCTGGCCCATATGGCTGGAAATACTTTGAAGCAGTCTCTTGGGACAGATGGCTGCTTATTAAGTGTGGTCTCTTTTGCATCTTTACTGTAAATTGTGCATCTACACACCTATATTAAAACATACTGCAATCTGAAGTACGGTGCTTCAGAGAGTTGGAATGGAATGACCCATCAGGAGTTGAGAGGAGAAAATACCCCCCTATGCGCTCACTGGGCTACTCCCTTCCTACCTTCATCTGTTCAAGAATCAGGGCCAAAAGGCTGAGAAATTCTCAGAACTCCTCTCTTGGATTCTTAGGTAAGTCAGCAGAAATCTTCACAAGGAGAAGGAAGTTGGGATATATATATATATATATATATTATTTTTTTTTACGATGATATTTATTTTCCCCACATGCCCCATGCACTGAGCTGTATGTTCTCTCTGTTGAAAAGCCTCCATAATCTGCATAGACCTGAACTGGGTTGGTGTCTCATTTGTCCCCTAGATCATTTACAAAATAATGGAACACACTGCTGCTTTACTGTGTGCTCTTCCAAGCACTATCCTATTAGTTAGCACTTAGTGGGAGTGTGGGATGGCTTTGTGCAGAACTATCTGTTCTAGCAGGTTTATATTTGAAGGTGACAGGAATGGATCAGATCAGTGTGTTCCATACTATCGAGGTGCAAGTCTCAGACTGAGAAGTACACTGTGGTGAGGCACATTTGTACCCATTTGTGTTCCAGCAGAACAGCTTTTAAGAGATTCTCTTACACTAACCCTCACTCTAGGTTGTTAATAAGGGAACTAGGTAGACTGGGAATTTTTTTTTCGAGGGGGTGGGGGGGAAAGATATCTAATGTAGTGAGTGCAGTTTAGGTCATAAGTTATTTGGGAGAGAATTTTGAGATGACTTAATGCACAAATGACCATAAGAGGAAAAAAAATCATTGATGCCACAATAGCCAGGAGCAAAGGAGCTGAGACCTTGTGAAATATTCGGAGCTGTGTAAGTAGGGGGAACTAAAACTAAGATCATGCAGTCCCTATGGTGAGACAACCACCCACATGCACCAGACAGTGGGTGCCAATGTCAGCCAGTGTTACTGGGGTCAAAATGCAACCTCTCTTATTCAGGACACAGTGTCCTGAAAAATGTGGTACCTCTCTGGGAGATGGAGCTAGAAAACGGTTTCCAACCTGCTGCAAACGTGACGACTCTCCTCTTTACTTTCACACCACCCATGGTCTTTACTCTTTAAGAGGGGAGGCAGTGCATCATGGCAATCCTATGGCTGTAGTGCATCATGGGAGATGGAATACAATTGGGGGAGTCCAACCTACAGAGGAGAATGAGAACAAGAGGCATCTGAATGACAATTTCCATAAGGGAGGACTTTCAGAATCTAAATATTATGGGGTGTAATTTCACTGGCAATTCTAAGTTTTCCATAGAACATTTCTATGAAAAAAAATTATTTTCATTTTAGAAAAAAAATTTCCATGGAGAAAATCCCCATTTTTTGATCAGCTCTAGTGTGAATCAAGATTAATTCGGCTATGCACCAGTAAGAGGATACTCTCACATGAGAGAGAGAGAGAGAGAGAGAGAGAGAGAGAGAGAGGAGGAGGAGGATGAATACCCACAGGAGTCTGTTAGGCAACACATACTGTGGGGCAAACTGTGCTTTTCTTTTTACCTTTGTTGTTTCCCATCATTATGACACATGCACAGGCAATTCCTGTCCTTATCTCTGTGGCTATGGGGAGCCAGATAGCAGCGGAGCAGGTTTTGCTGTCCAAGAAGAGAGGGAGGCAGAATTTGGCTGTGCATGGGACAACCAGGGAATTAGTACAGCCTGTGAACAGGGCTGGATTAACTTTTTGGGGCCTGGCGCCAAACATATTTAAGGGCCCCCATTGGGGAAATAGGGCATGTGATGGGGGGCAGTCCGCAGAGCGAGGGGCCGGTTGGGGGCAATGAGATGCAGCGCAGCAGGAGTGGCCCCACTCAGCCCAGCACAAAGGCACTGTTTACAAACCGCAAACTGCTAGATGCACACTGGCCCACCCAGCCCTGTATTGCCAGCATGCTCCTTCCACACTGGCCCCGGGCCCAGTGCCCTGCTCTTATGCCAGTGCCCCCTCACCCAGAGACTTCCCCCACAGATCCCTATGCCCAGCACCCCTTGCTTAGAGACCCCTCCCGCTGACATCCCACCACAACTGCACAGCACCCTGCACACCATACCCCCTGCCCAGCTACCCCACCCACAGATCCCCTACTGTCCAGCACCCCCTTCACAGTCCCACCATCACAGCTGTACAGCGCCCCATATTTCAGAGGAAATTCTGCATCAAATTCTGTGCATAATATTTTAAAATTCTGATTTTTTTTTAATAATAAATAAATGTGGAAGCTCCACCATGGCAGTGGGAGAATACCCTGCAGCCTCCCCCACCCCCTTGGGACAGGGACTTGGCAGTGAGACTGAACCTGACCCTGACCCAGCACAAGGGCAATGCCTGCCACAGAAACAGCCTGAGGCCCTGCCCCTTTTGTGCCAGGCGCACCAGATGTGGGCAGGGAGGCTCAGCCCAGCAGCAGGATCCAAGTGCAGAGGGACTTAGTGTGGGGGTATCCGGATGGGGGTAAGAGGGTTCTGTGGGGGGTGGGGGGGGTAAGAAGGTGGGGGGGCAGTCTGGGTGCAGGCAGCTCAGTAGGGGATCTGGATGCACAGGGAGGTGCCAGGTGCAGGGGCAATGGGAGTCTGCAGGGGGGACCAAGTGAAAGTGGTTGGAGCTCAGTGGGGTGGGGTGGGGGAGTCTGGGTGCAGGGGAGGTGGGGTTGTGGTACTTAAAGTACTGCACAGGATCTTTTCAGGGGGAATAAGGCAAACGCCACATTCATTGGTAATACATGCATCAATCAACACTATCATATGCATATGATCTATATTACAGTCATGCACTCACACACACACACACACACACACACACTCCGTCTCGTTGTTGTTACCAACTAGTTGCTCCCCTTAACTTCACTGGCCAGGGGAGTTAGATAGAGAAGGGGTGGAGCCGGGCTTCTGCCTATCTGGATCAATGCTCCGATGTTGACAAGACCCAGGGTCCTCTGCAAGACACCTCACATTTATAGCAGCTTCCCTCTCATGCAAATCTATACCAGATTCAAAATCTGTGTCCCTTGGTCCTTTGTGCTGCTTCCTTCTGGGTGTTGTCCCAATCCTGTTCAAAGAGGTTATTTCCAAAAGAAGGTACTGTTCAAAGAGGGTGTTTCCAAAAGAAGGTGCTTGATTCTAAACCACCCCTCCACCTCCACCCCCTCCCGTCCCCGAGGCCGTCAATATGTCTGCTCTTCTTTAGTGAGCCCACTTGACAAGTTTGATTGTCCTTGGGTCTGGCTTCCATCCCCTCTCCAACTAACTGTCTGGAGGTGCTTGCGTTCCACGCCTTCCTCATTCATTCAACATGCCAATTGATTAAGGGAGCGTGGGGAGGGGGAATCTTATTCTACTCCTAGCAAAAAGACATTTTTCTTCTACTTTAACTATCCTTAGGGGCTATAACATTATACCAAGGCTTAACACAAAGTTTTCTATAAGTTTTTCTACATATAGGAACTTTGTATCAGATCCCTATCAAAGGACTTGATACAAAGTTGTATGAAAATAGCTTAATACAGGGTTATACGAAGAGGCATAATACAAAGTCACATGAAAGTTATGTGAAGATGCTTAATACAGAGATTTATCTACAGGGTTCATTTGGGTGAGGGTCTAGGTGTAGGTGGTTGGGGCTCAGTGGGGAGGATGTCTGGGGGGGGGCTCATCGGGGTGGTACAGATGCAGGGGAGGTGGGGCTTGTCAGGGTGAGGATTTGATGGGCCTGCTTAACAGGGGAGCCCCAGCTGCTGCCAAGGGGATCCGCATGCTGGGACCCAGTTTCCCCTATCCCAGGGATCGGTAACCTTCGGCACGTGGCCCACCAGGGTAAGCCCCCTGGCGGGCCGGTTTGTTTACTTGCCGCGTCCACAGGTTCGGCCAATTGCGGCTCCCACTGGCCATGGTTTGCCGCTCCTGGCCAATGGGGGCTGCGAGAAGCTGCGGCCAGCACATCCCTCGTCCTGCAGCCCCCCATTTGCCTGGAGCTGCGATTGGCCGAACCTGCGGCAGGTAAACAAACTGGCCCGGCCCACCAGGGGGCTTACCCTGGCGGGCCGTGGGCCGAAGGTTGCCGATCCCTGCCCTATCCCCTTCTCTTCCCCGTCCCAGGCCCCTTCCCCACCACTCCATCTCCTCCCCATCCCACCCCCTTCCTTCCCCACTATGTCTGTCCCCCTGCCCTGCCTGCCCCACCATTGGCAATCACTGTTGTACAAGATGAAGGATGGCTCCCAGCACACAGAAGGGAGCTCAACCAGCACTAGGACCCAGAAGGTGGTGTCCAGCTGCAAAGTCCCGGGAGCTGAGCAGCACCTTCTTTTTTTCAGCCTGGCTGTGCAGCTCTGCAGTCAGAGTAGGTTTGCTCGTTCCACCCCCACTCCCCACCCTGCCTCTTCTCCCCAGGTGAGCATGCTGCGGCTGTGCTCCTCCCCCAGCAAACAGCTGATCGGCAGCAGGGAGGGGGAAGGGAGCAAGCTGTGAGAAGAGGCAGGGGAGGCGGAGCTTGGCTGCCCTACTGCAGCAGGAGCACCAAGCTTCTGCCCCCCACAGGAGAGAGCGGAGGGCGGAGAAGAGTGGGCCTGGTCGGGGGGCCCCTGGAGTGTGGGCCCGGCTCCATGGCACCAGTGGCTCCATGGTAAATCCGCTACTGCCTGTGAAGCATGGAACTGGACCTCCATGCAAGCTTCTTATGAGGTAACATGCAGGGAAACTGGGTCAGAGTGACTGGGGAAGGTGCAGAGGGTCCACCACTGCATGGATTCTCTGGTTCCCCATGTGCAGTGGGGATGTAAAGGCTATTCTACTCCAGTGTAATTGCCATATTCTGTGGAACATTTCCACAACTGCTCCCTGGCTTTGCTTTATTCTGTGCTTTTCTCCTTCAAGTCTACCCAGAGCCCATAAAACTTGGGTTACCAGGGGTAGGATAGCATTGTTCAGGCTGTTGTTTCTGTAACTTTGTTGCATTGCCACTGTGTGTTTGAAAATAAATAAAAACACAAGAATAGCAGAGCTCTTAAACAATTCACATCGTGATTTCTTTAACCTGAGAGTGACTCCTGACTTCCTATATAGGTCGTGTGTCTGAGTAACAGCAGTGGAAATTTGTCTTTGAGAGCTTCCTCTATCACTCATCAAGGTTCTGGAGTACATTCACATCTCTCCATAAGAGCCCTGAAGAAGCTGTATTGAAAAGCCTAGTTCCCATTAGCTAATCTGAGAAATTGTCTGAGAGACTGACATATGGGAATACAAACATATGCATCATGTTGGCTGATCTTTGCTACCCAGCTTCCTAGCTGCAAAATATAGATCAGAGACAGCAGAGTTAGACGTGAAAGCCTTGATATTTTCTCCCTGTTTAACTTACCTCAACCTAGAATGAGTTTGCAGTGTTCAAATTTTTTTAGTTTGTATGTGGCACTGTAGGGAATGAAGAGAATTATGACAGAGGAAGACTAAGTGCCAAATATTCAAGGGGTGCCCACTAATTTTGGATGCCTGGCTTGATTTTTGGAGCAGCTGAGAACCTACAATTCCAGAAGAAGTGAACAGGTGTTGCCAGTGCATAGCAACAGAGGCTTCGGCAGTCAAATGTATGCAAACATTTAAAGTTACAGCTTGTAGCAACATCATCCACAATATAATACCCTGCTGCCTACAGTTTCCCACACACCTTATCACAGGCATTAAAAACAATCTCCCTGAGAGTGAGGAAGGAGTTGTTATTTTGTAATTTGTCTGAGATGCCAGGGATGCAATTCCTGTAGCTGCTCCCCCCAAAATGGCACCATTCTCCCTCCTGGAGAGATCACTGCTAGTGAAGAAATGATTTCGGTAATTAATTCAAATAAATGTAAGATAATTAGCAACTCTAAAGCTTCTGAGAGGATCAAATATGAAATGGGCCTGAGCTACAAAACTTACAACCAGGTCAAAATTTTTCCAAAGTATCAGGATGGTTCAGAAGGGCACCTAAGACAAAGACTTTAGTTTTTCAGCTGACTGTCCTGACCTCTTGAACATCAGAGAAAGTTACTCAAAAGATACCTGATAAGACTTTGTAAGAATCTGGGGAAGAAGTGGAGTAATACCTGGTCAGATGTAGTCTCCTGCAAAGAACTCGTCTGTTGATTGCATTAAGAACAAATGACAGG